AAATCAGGTAACAGATTAAGACAGTTGGAAGGGACCTTATAGGTCATCTAGTCCAACCCCTGCTCAAGCAGGAGACCCTACCCCATTTCTGACAGATGGCAGTCCAGTCTCTTCTTGAAAGTCTCCAGGGATGAAACTCCCACAACTTCTGAAGGCAACTCATTCCATTGAATACAGAATTACAGAATTGGAAGGGACTTTGTAGGTCATCCAAGCAGGAGACCCTACCCCATTTCTGACAGATGGCAGTCCAGTCTCTTCTTGAAAGCCTCCAGTGATGAAGCTCCCACAACTTCTGAAGGCAACTTCTGTTCCACGCATTGATTGTTCTCACTGCCCAAAAATTCCTCCTTATTTCCAGGTTGAATCTCTCCTTATTCAGTTTCCATCCATTGTTCCTTGTCTGGCCTTCAGGTGCTTTGGAAAATAGCTTGACACCCCTTCTCTCTGGGCAGCCCCTCAAATATTGGAAGACTGCGATCATGTCTCCCCTCTAGTGTTGTGGAGTAGCAATTCTGCAGCCAATGAGTAAAGGAGGCCAAGGGTAAAGAGAAGAGTTTACGCAGCAACAGATGTTGGATCTGCCAAGACAGGCAGGGCCTGCCCAGGCAGCCTAGAACTAGACTCTGTTTCTCCGGGATTTAAGCCTGTGGTCTTGCATGTACAAACGCCTTGGGCTCCCTGGAAGGGCTTTGGAAACACAGGCTGCTCTCTTCTTTAGCCTCTGAAGAGATTCACAGAGTTGAAAGGGACTTTGTAGGTCATCTAGTCCAACCCCCCGCCCAAACAGGAGTCACTACACCATTTCTCACAGAGGACAGTCCAGTTTCTTCTTGAAAGTCTCAAGTGATGAAGCTCCCACAACTTCTGAGTGCAACTTGTACTCCATGGGTTAATTGTTCTCACGGTCAGAAAATTCATTCTAGTTCAGTTTCCATCCATGATTCCTCGCCTGGCCTTCAGGTGCTTTGGAAAATAGCCTGCCCCCCCTCATCTCTGGGGCAGTCCCTCAAATATTGGAAGGCTGCTATCCTGTCTCCCCTGGTCCTTCTCTTCACTAGACTAGCCGTGGCTGGTTCCTGAAACCGTTCATTGTATGTTTTAGCCTCCAGTCCCCTCATCATCCATCCTGGTTGCTCTTCTCTGCACTTTTTATAGAGTCTCAATTTCTTTTTACATCGTGGAGGCCAAAGCTGGATGCAGAATTCTAGGTGTGGCCTTACCAAGGCAACACAAAGTAGCACTCATACTTTGCATGATCTTGATTGCATCCCTCTGCCTCAAACATCTTGACTTGCGTTTCCCCCTATATGTGACTTCTCTGCTTTTCTCCCTTCAGAGGCTTCAAAATTAGAGGGATGGGAAGCTAGCAGGGTGTAGCTGTTCTTCAGAACCAAATTGTGCCCAGTGTAGGAGCCGCCTGGTTCTTCATTTCTCGAGTTGGTCCATCTGGTTTCCTCATGGCCATCAATTTCTGCTCTCAGGGCTCAGTCAAGCTGTCTGATAGTGCATCCCACTTGGAAAAGCCTCTCCCTGCCCACTAGCTGCCTCTCTCTCTCTTAGGATGAGATTCAGAAAAGAAGAGGAATGCCCTTGGAATGACTGCCCTTGAGGGCTCCCAGAGCAAAGCCCTGGTTTCCCTTGGTTGCAAGTAGTACAACTCCCACTCCACTAGGAGAGCTTCTTTGCACAGGTGGGCCAGGGTTTTTTTCCCCAGCCAGCGTGGTACTCTGTGAGCTCTTCCTCTCGGCCCCTCTTTGGGGCACTGAAAAGGGAAATGCCAGTCTCCAGGCTGCCCCGCTCTGTCTCGCCTGCAGGTGCTGAACGCCTGGCGAGGCTTCATGCAGGAGCAGCTGCGGAAGAAGAGACGGATGGCATGGGCGGCTGAGAGCTACCAGGCGGAGCTGCTGCGCGAGGGCGCCTGCCGCATCCTGAGATACGTGGTTGCCGTGAAGCAGCACCGAGAATGCTTGCAAGCCCAGCATCATCTGCAGGTGAAGCCGGAGCCCGGCTGGCAAGCACATCTCTCACTCCCACCACAGTGCCAGTGGATTTGGGTGTAGTCCCTCCCCAGGCTGATTAGGGGTGGAGGGGAGGGGGCTTCTGCTTGGGGCAGGCTTTTCGTTCCTGGGTGGGATTCGGGGCCTGGGACCAGCCCTTCCTGCTCTCTGCTTGCAGGCCGCCTGTCAGCGTCACCACTTGGTCTACCGCTGCGCCATGATATGGAAGCAGAAGGCTCTTTCCCGAAAGCCCAGCCTGGCACTTTCAGGCATTCCCGCCAAGAAGCATGTGACTTTCGAAGTGCCAAGACTGGGCCACGTCCCTCCTGGTGTTCCCAGGAGACAGGCCAACCTTCCCGGTGTGCCAAGGGACTGTCAGGCTGCTGGAGATTCCATCCTCTCAGATTTGTGAGTCAGAAATCAGAGAATGGAAGAGTTGGATGGGTTCTCTGAGACCATCTAGTCCAGTGTAGAATTCCACTCTTAGAGCCTCCACATTTGCTGCAAAGGAGAGTCCACTGCCTCAGATCCGTTAAGGAGAAGCTCCTGCAGGAAAGCCCTGGAAACTTCTCATTTAAAGCTATTGCCTTACCTTGTACAGTTCTGCCCCCACTTCCACATGGCAGGTGCGGTCGGGTAGATGGACATGCTCCCCCATCTTCCTCCCATCTCCTTTCTCCCAAGCTGGAGACCCTCAGGGCCCTTCTCATCCCAGCTCTGGTTTGCCAGCTCCTTCCTAAATTTCCCTCTTGTAGACAGGAGAGGAGCTGTGACTTCCCTTAGTTGGGATCCTGTACTTTGGTTCAGGCTGCCAAGGACTGGATTTTTCTGCAGCTGCATCACTCAGTTTGCTCCAATTTGGCTTGCAACGTACATACTACAAGGGGTGAGTTTCCCCTGCGAAGGAGGAGCAAGAGAAGAGCTGATACTGCAACAGAACACTTCCCCTGTGCCCAGAGCCTCGGAGCCCCTTTCTCCAGCTTTCACTCTGAGCGGGGAGGGATGCCCCATCTCGAGGTCTCCTGGGTGTCCTGCTTGGACCATCTGCCATGAATCGCTAGGCTGTCGGTGGGCCTCAAGACTGCAGCTCAGAGGAGGCAGAAGGGCTGTTTGGCAATAAGGTGGCCTTTGGGAGTTAGTTTCCTCCACAGCCTTTTCCTTAACCTGGGCTGGCCATTGCCTTTTCTCCTAGCCTCTTTGCCCCCCACCCCTGCAATAGTCCTGGATAAAGGCTTGGGGGATGGAGGAGGAGAGCTTGGGCAACCCAGCATTGTGCAAAGCCCCTTTGCATGCGTCCTGCTGGTGGCAGCTGCCACTGGGATGCCAAGCAAGCAGTACTTTACTCCTGCCCACAGATACACGGCTCGCCAGGTGAGGCTGCAGCCTCGTAGACCCGATTTCCTGGTACCATTTCCTGAGAAAAGGGGGCTGCCGCATGCAGGGAAGTGGTAAGTGGACAACAAGAACAGCAGCAAGCGTCGGATCAGGTTTCTGGCCCTCATAGTTAGTCTCTTTTCTGTAATTCTTTTGGGCCTGCCAACACATTGATTTGGGTCCAAAGTTCAGGTGCAGGCAAACATTCGGGCATCCCAGTCAAAATGTATGTTCCAGGGAACTGCAAAGATATCGTAATGGTATGTGGGAAAGACCTTGGAGGACGGGGTGAAGAAATGTGAGCAGTCAGATAAGGGAAGACACTGCCCACACCTGCCTAATGGGTGGAGAAAGGGACATCTTTTTGCAAATGCCAGAATGGGCTTCCTCTTGAGGTGCGGTCAGGGTGGCCAGAGTGACTCTGACTCACCACCCCAAGACCAGCCTCCCAATTGGAGCTCTGATCAGGATCCATATCGTAGCCAAATTCAGCCATGTGAATAAATTTGTTCCAACCTTTCAAGTGGCAGAATCCCAGCTTCCTCATTAGATAAGCCACTTTATGATGTTTAAATTAGAACTTGCTAAATAATAACCCACGAACAAATCACGATCAATTGGGCTGCATCACTCCATTCAGGGGCCAGCATCCCTGGCCGATTTCCAAAGAAGGTTTGTCACTGGACAGGAAGCCCCCAGCCAGCACTAGATGTGCCCAAAGGAAGGGGACAGTTATCAGCAGAGACCTGTGTGTGCGTGCGTGCAGTGTTTTGGATGTGATGGCTTTGCTTCCAGCTGTGGTAAAAAGACCTGGGAAAGGCATAAGCATATATGAATAGAAGTTTAGGAAAAACACTGAGTATTTATACAAAAACTAGCAAATCTTTCTCCCCCTCCACAGGCTGGAAAGCTCCGCTGGCTTTGCTCAGCCAATGGCAGCAGGGCCCCTCCTGCCTGTCCCCCCCAGCATCGGCCCTTCACCGTCCCCTTTTAGTGGCTGCGGTGACTCTTCTGGTTCCTTTCCCAAACCTGGACCCCCTCCCCCCAGGAGTCCTTGGCTTCACAGCCCCACCAGTGCTGCCCCAGAGCTGCAGCCCCCCTCCTCCTTCACGCTGGGGACAAAAAGGGCAAGTGTTGAGACGGTGAGCATCTGGAAAGCAGCATCTCCTGCTCTGCTGCTCCCCCTGGCCTTTTGTTTGGGGGGGGGGGGGGCTCAGAGTCTGGATTGTGGCATTCAGTGATCCAGTGACTGATGGCCAAGGAACTCAATCCAGGGCCCTCATGGGGGCTTCATGTGGACCAGTGAGCCCAGTTTAGAGCCACAGGTGTGATAGTCTCTTTTGCCCTTCCCCAGCCCTCCCTCAGCCCTCTGGCTGCAGCCCCTGGCAAGGAGAGGCCAATGGTGGTCTCAAGGGGGCCTTTGCTGGCACCCAAAGATTTTACAAGAGGAAGAAGGAGCCCACCTCTTTGCGGAAAAGCAGGTAAGGCTGGAATTCTGCTACACTTTTCAAAAGAAACGTTTTCCATGCTGGCTTCATCAAAGGGATGTGCGACAAATACGGGGGAGATTCTGGACAGAGAGGCAGGAATCCTTAAATAAGCAAAGAAACATTTATTCAGTCCTGAGAGGCAGGATGGTGTTTGGAAGAGACTTCCTGATTCACCAGGAGGGGGCGCTAAAGCCAGTCAGGCTGGCAAGATGCCATCACCAGAGCCAATCTCAACAGAACCGAGTTTGAGTCTTCCTGCAGATTTGAGTTTCTGATCTGGCCTAGGATGGGGCTGCTCCTTGGGAGGCCATAATTGGAGGGGCATTTGAATTGGGTTGGAGCCACCTTCGCTTCGGGGTGGGGGGTGTCCCTCTGGCTGAGCGGTGCTTGTGATCAGCCTCATAGGACAGTCTAAGGATCCACACCCCCAAAGCTGTGAGCAGGGCCTGCTGCAGGAGACTACCTAGCAGGAGTAGCCTCTGCCGCCTCTGGATGAGCAACTCTTGCCTGAATTCATAGGATTTGAGCTTAGCAAAGGAAGAGGCCCGGCTGAAGACCGACTGGGCAAGGGTGGGATGTCACCTTCTTGGAAATTCCTCTCTGGGTTCTTGATCTTCCACCAGCCGTGGTCCTAAGATAGGAGAAGGGGAGGTGATTCTCAGGGACCCTCCGATGGCTCTGATGGGACAGGCTTTGAGCTCCTCTCTTTGAGGTTGGGCTGTAGAGGCAAGTTGAGTGTTCTCTCATATGCCACCTAAGGGGCTGCATGGCAGGATCACTTTTTGGGATGCCCAAACTGTTCAGAAAAGTTCATAAGTTGTGGGAGCTTCATCCCTGGAAGCTTTCAAGAGGGGACTGTCAGAAATAGTGCATGGTCTCCTGCTTGGGCTAGATGACCTACAAGGTCCCTTCCAACTCTGTTAACCTGCAAACGGACTTCTGCACTGGTGTTGGGAGTGGCGCTGGCAGGTGGTGCTGGGCAACTTCAACTTTGTCGGTCTGGGAGAGAATTCCAGGAAGGCTTAGCCATGTCTGGTCATCATGGTGCCAATGGCATCCGTTGGCCCATCAGCCATTGGTCTGACCTTGATATCAGCACAACCTTAAGTGATCTGAATGTGGAGGATGTGATGGTTAGTCCATTGGGCCACAGTCCTCCTCCGATTTGCATGAATGGCCCAGAGGGACCATTCTCAACCGTCTCAATATGGAAATCAGTTCAGAGGAGGAACTGGTTGGTCTCTGGTGCCTGGAGGCCAGACTGCTTGGCACCCAAGTGGCTGGTCTCATCTGCAGGTTCCGGAGAGTTCCTTGGTTGAGGAACCCCAGGAGATGGAGCAGCAGAAGGGGCTGGAGACCTTCTTGACCACATAAAGTACATACGCCACAGAAAAGTAATATGCCATGATGGAGCTTTTTCCTTTTCCCACTCTTACTACATTGAGCAAAGAATACCTGATTCAGGGGTCATTTGTGATCTGTTTTTGCTCCCAGGAGGCTTCCCTGAAGCCTGCTAGGCCAAAAATGGGGGGGTGGGGGTGAAGGTGCTGCAAAATAGAGAGAGAGGGAGGGAGGGCAAAGGAGAGGGAGGGAGGACCACAAACCTGGCACTAGACGCAGCTTCAGAGGATACCTTGAAAGAGCACAGCAATCCAGGGCTGGAAGGGATCTGGAGGTCATCTAGTCCAACCCCCTACTCCAGCAGGAGATTGTTAAAGTGAGTTTCTGTCTTTTGACCACCCCAGTCACATGACTACATAGCCACACCCCCCCAGTCACATCCCCCCCCCCCTCTCCAAGCCATGGCCACAGAACTGGTAGCAAAGAAGTTTTAGATTTCACCACTGACCTGATTAGCCATTAGCTGCTCTCTTCTGGGAGGTGAACCTTGACAGTTACTGCAGGGCTGCCTTCACATGTTTGTGCAATGGGTTGTCTATAAAAAAAACTGCACAAATGTTCTCAGGCTTGGACTCTGGACAATGCCTGATGAAATGGGGAAGCTTCCTTGGGATTCTTTGTGGTTTGGTGATTAGGAGCAAGCAGTGTGCAGAATGGGGCAAGTCACCTGTGGGCTGGATCTGTGCCCAACCTGGCTTCGACGTGAGGTTGTGTGAAGGAAAATTCAGAAAAATTGTCAGCGCTTAAAAGGGCAGTTTCAGTGGTTGGTGCCAGAGGGCCTCTCCAGGAAAACATGGAGGCATTGGAGTCATTAGCCCATTTGGAGTGAAATATTTGTCATGCCCAGTTAGCCAGAAATGCTTGGGAATCTTGACCCGGTGCGTGGGAGGTGTGTGGGAATGGATGGGAACAACTGAATGAATCCTGGCAAGGCAGAGGTAGTGCTTGTCCCAAAATTGTCTGGTCTTTTCTCCCCTTGTAGTTCTGGATGGAACTGTGCTCCCCCAGAGAAAGGAGGCCTGTGACCCAGAGATCATCCTGGCCTCGTGGCTACCCTTGAGAGCCACGTGGCCGCCACAGCCAGGGGACAGCACCAACCTCAACTCTACCTGGCAGTAGTTTCCCAGGGCCTTAGCACTTCCAGTGTGGGCTGCTGCAGTGTGCTGCATGTGGGGGCCATTTGGAAGCTGCAGTCAGAACAGGACAGAATTTGTGAATGCGAACTATTGAGCGTGGCACCAAGCTTGCAAGAGCTGAGTTAGTTGCCAGTAAGTTTCTAAGATCCATAGATGGCTTGGCACCAGATCTGCCTTTTCTGCTTAGGGAGCCGAGACCACGTGAGAGGCTGAGGAAGAACAGGGGGTAGAAGGGAAGGGATGGGAGTAGAACAGACCGTGTCTCTGACGTGTCCATCCTATGGAGTTTCTTGACCCAGAATTGAAGCGTCACTGGTGGTTTTGAGGTGGGGTAGTCAAGAGGAGATTGTTCTGGAGAGCATCTGGATGATGGCTGTTTTTACTGGATAGACCATTGCATTTGGGGGGCGGGAGTATTGTTGGATTGTGTGTAAACCACTAGAGTCCATGTGGAATCAGCAGAATGCAAGTCTTACGATTAGCTCCTTTCCCAAATATGCTTTTCATCCCCCCTTTTAGAAAAGTGTCATTTCATGTATCAGGGAATCTCAACCCAATCCAATATATTTAAGAAAGAAAGCAGCAGAATTCTGAAATAGGCATTTGATGCTTCATAAGCATGGCAGGAACTTGACTTTTGCAGAGGAAAACCTGTGAATTTGAGGGTATCAGCCGTTTAGCCTTCCAAGTCAAAGATTGGGTTGGTCTTGATAGGTGGAACAATTGGATCAGGTTTCATCCTGGCAGCTCTTTCATACCTGAGGAAGGAGACTGGGAAAGAGATCAATCTCCCCAAATTTTGCCAAGTTCGAGGCAATTTCTAGAAGGAAAGTGGGATGGGAAAATTGTTCCAAAGGCTAAGCCAGTGACTTCTTTTTGTTTTAGAAACCAAGCGAGGAAAGACTGAAATTCAGCCGCTGGAGGATGAGCTCCAATGTATTGGGCAAAAGATGCAGGATTACTACAGCCAGCAGCAGGAACTGAAGTGGGTCCCAAAAACGCCTTTCGGTCCCAATTCAGGGGCCGGTTTCTGCTTTGCAGAAGAGTCTGAACCGGGAGGACCCCTCGGCTGTGGAGGATGGTCATGAAGGCCTCCTCCTCCTCCTCCTCCCTAGCACTGGTGAAGTTACCTGATTTGGGTAATGAAACACCTGCATAAATACAGCCAATCTCAGAGAGCCCCTCAGGCCTCTCCTGTGGAGCTGGGAGGCTGGATGGATGCTGCAGAGCATGGCCTCCTCTGCCCTGCCTTGCGCGACCCACTGCCTTCTCCTTGCCCCTTCAGAGGTGCTGTGGGCATGTTGGGAAGCAGGGCTCTGGGGAGGAGGAAGGGCCTGGGTGGGGGCAAGCTGGGGCTCTTTGATGGAGTGGGGGGGGGGAGAGGGGCTATGGTTCTCCCACCAAGGAAGGATCCAACCCAGCCTGACCTGCCATGAAGAGTCATCCCCTCTTCCCTCCGAGGGGGCACTGAAGTGGGGCTGGTTGTCAACCAGTTTCCTTGTGAAGCCAAGTTGGTGTTGGGTGGAAGTCATGCTCCAGGGGGATATCATGAAAGGCAGTGGCTCTGTGTGTGGAGGGGCTGCCTAGCAGTCAGAGCAGATTGGAAACCAAGGCCCTATTGAAGGCGGCTGGGCCTGTTCTGTCCTGGATAGCCAGTGTTTATCTCGGAACGGGTTTTGCCATCTAGCTTTCTTCTGTTTCCTATTTCTTTCTTTTACTGTTTCTAATCAAGGGCTTGTTTTCTGTTGTTACTTTCATTTAAAAACACAAAACAATCACATCAGCTGTTGATGGGAGCTTTAGGCACTTTGCCTGTCGCACCGGCTGCTTCTCTGCAAGAACAATGAACCGTTTTCACTTGGCTTTTAGGTTCTGCCAGCGACAGGAACGGCTTCTTAGCAAGTGGCTGGAACTGAGAGGAGTTGGGGAACCCTCTGATGCGCAGGAAATCCGTGAGAAGCTGGGCCAGGTATCAACTGGAGGTCTGTGGGGTCACTGACAGGCAGGCCAGAGCAAGTGCTGCAATGTTTCAGCTTCAAGAGGAGTGGAAATGAGCCTTGCAACTACCCCACCCCCAAGATACCTTCTGCCTTTGGCAGGCTCCTGGTTTCTTTCTTGTAGTTCTAGCACTGAGCATGGAGACTCACTTTTACCTTCAAAGATTTTAAAGGCAAGTCAGCAAAAATAGCACAGGTGAAAACTGGAACATTGTAGGAATTGCAGGAGCTGTTACTAGACAAAATTGTTTTGTGCCTTTTTCTATCACAACAGAATATCCTGATTTTCTTAAGTGTCCATATAATGTATCCCCAAGGTCTGGATTTTCTAGCAGAAATTGCTATGCTGAACCTGTTAACCAGTTTCAGAATCCAGAAAATTGGCAGCTGCATCGTAATTCACAGGTTGCTTAGCACCCTCCGCATACCTTTCCATGGTATTTGCAAACAAGAGAAATTATGGTTGATCTTAGACACAAGCCTAAAGTTGAGACCAGTGTTTCTCTGGCAGCTTGAAGACATGTGGACTTCAACTCCCAGAATTCCCAGCAAGTGTAAGAGTTGAAATTGGCTTATCTCAAAAGTACCAATGTTGAGATCCATTGGCTCAGACTCATGAAATTGGGAGGAACATAACAAGTCATCTGGTCCAAGCGCTCAGGGATTCATTGGACGCTCGGGCAGATGACCATTCAGCCCGTTTCAAAGCTTCCAGCAAGAGAGGCCAGGCTCCCTTCTTCCGACTCCTTCTCAGCTCATATAGTCCAGAGGTTTCTCCTGATGTGTAGCCTGGACCACCTTCCTTGCTCTTGTCCTACCAGAGGTGGCAGAGGGTGAGAAAAAAAGCCCATTGCCACCTCTGGGTGATATCTTCAGATACCTAAAGATTGCTGTCATATCTGGTCATCTGTAGATGAGACACACTCACATTCTTCAACTTCTCCAACTGTGCAGGTCCTGGGTTGTGGGCCCTTCCCCAGTTTGCCTCTCTCCCTCCCCCCCCCCATTTCTCTCTCCCTCTCTCTTTTTGACCTGTGGTGCCCAGAACTAGAGGAATATTCCCAACAGGTCTCGATTAAGGCAAAGGAGAGGTACAAGGACTTCTCCTGACTCCTGTTAACACACTCCAAAATAAGGCTTCTTGTCTTTTAGGGGAGACATTTTATGGCTAACCCCACATTTTGCTTGGAAATCTGCTTGGGGTAAATGAAGCTGCTCTTGCTTCCCCCAAATCCCCCTGAGAAATAAACTTAGAATGAAACTGGCAGTTCAGGGGATTGAGGACCAAGGGTAAGCAGAAGTTGGTGGTAGCTCAGGGAAAAATGGAGGCTAGCCATCGTTTCAGAAAGGTACAGCCTGCCATGCTCTCCGTAGCTGAATTGGGCTGTCCCTCACCCACGGGGCTCTTCATGTTCCTGGGGTGGTTTGTTTTTTGCAGCTGAAGGTGCAGATTGCCTCACTTGTAAGCACGTTGGAAGGAGAGCGGCAGCTGATGCAGAAATACATGAGCCGCGTCCAGGCCATCCGAGCGGCTCTGAAGACGTAGGCAACGGCACCTCCACCTCCTGCTGGGGTGGTTGCGCATGGAGGACTCTGCCCTTCCTTCTGCCTGGCCGGAGAAGCTGCTCCCACCGGTTTGGATAGTTCCCACGCATTCCTCAGAGGACCCTCAAACTGAGCCACCCCAGGAAAGAAAGAGGGGACTTGCTTTTGAGAACCCCTCTGGAGGATTTCTCAGAATTAAAACACTTTAAAAGTCAAAGCACAGTCAGTTCTTATTTTTACTTTAAAACATTTGCCATTAATGAGTTAATGTCTTAAGTTGTACATTTTGACATACAAAAATACTGTGCTACTGATACAGTTGAAAAATAAAAGGATTCTCCATGTTGGAGAAATTCACAGCGTCACCAAGAAACCCACTCCCGTTTGTTTAGGGTTTGGGTGACACCCCCCCCCCAAGCCCACCGCTTCACAGGACCTGGCCCTGAACTGCTTTCTGACGACGGAGACCAACTGAAGGGGCTCCTCTACAGCAGAGTCAGAGCAACCAGAAAACAGAAGGCCCAGAATTGTACTGCAATGCAAGCAAAGAGAAGCAAGTGATTCCTCTCCACTGATAGAGCAAGGCACAGCTGTCTGTCATTTTGTCTCCCAATGGCAGCAGAGTACAGGATAATGTTGGAGGATGGAAGAGCTGTTTTCTGGTTAAGGACTTCACTTCTGCATTAAGGAAGGAAGGGACCAGCCATCACAAAGGACCCACTTTCTGGCCTTCCATCCCTCACAGCCACAGAAAAAGGCCCTCGTCATAGAGAAAATAGGACACTGCTCTGATCAAGTCCTGTCCTATATTTAGCTACAGCCTGGGTGTCTCCTAAAACTACTGGCCATTAAAAAAGAGAGGCAGATTTGGGGTGATGTGGCATCACCCCAAAGTCTAAAGCCTATAAATGATATTTTAGGGCAATGGGGAGAATTTATCGTGATCAATTCTGCTTCCTTCTCAGCCGCCTCCTTGACTAGCTCCAGCAGAGAATTAGACATTAGTTCATAGGAGAAGAGATGAGAATTATTTAATATTCCTAAAGGTGTTTTTTTAGTAGTGCTGGGCAGAGTCCACCGGCCACTTCCCTGCACAGAGGGAAGAGAAGGAAACTCGTGCCTTGCAGTGGGACTGGGGTGCGTTTCGGCAAGCCAGGTTCAAGAAAGGAGAACTGATCTCCCCCGTGCAACACAGAAAAAGTGAAGGCCCAGCACCGCAAGACCATTTTAGAAGTTGGAGGAAGAGACCAGCTGGGCTCCTCCAATCCAAATGCTGAACAAGTGAAACGCTGAACACAGACTTGATGTTGGACATCATAAACCTCTGCTTTAAAGGGAGAGAACTAGATTTTAGCCGGTTTCTTAATCGAAATTCAAGCTGCATTTTTTTTGTTTAGCCCTCCCTCTTCTCTAGGATTGGACTGAAAAATGGGTGTATGTAAACTTAAATGTAATGAGGCCAGTTGGATCCTGTCCCTTTAAAGGAGAGAGCTTCCTTCTGCCTTTCCTCTTCCTCTTGGCTGCAGAGCTTACAGCATCTCTGTGCAGAGCTTGAGAAGCGGCACAAAGGCAGGCTGCGTATTGAGCAAGAGGGAGAAGCTGCCGTCGTTCCGGAGCCCCGAGGGAAGAAAAGCCACCTGATCCATGCTCTTAAGGGCCACGGTCCCCCATCAATCCGCAACCCTCCTGATGAGGCTAGCCCCCCCCGCTCCCCCCCCCCGATTGAGACTAAGGACTCATTGTCTTCACTCAGGTCCTGCTGAGCAATACTCCACCACACCGAACGGCTTCCTTGTATGAACGGAGTCCCTGTCCATAGAAAAGCCCCTCCCCTCTGACCACCCAGACCTCAGAGGGACCCCAGAGCCTCCCCAAAGCGGATTTTCTGGCCAGGCTTCAAGTAGAAGTTGAAATCTTTGGGCGCCTCAAAGATCAGAACAATTGTTGAGCCTAAATTAAATTCGCCTAAATGTTCTCCTTTCCTCATGGGAATGCCTTCATGGTCCTTGTGGGTTACAAAGCTGAAGTCGTTGAATGAGCCTTTGCTGTAGCGAGGGCTGTTGGTCTGCAGCTTCTGCCAAGAGAGAGGGGGGAGGGGGAAAGGGGGTTGACGTGGCAGGTGAGGAAGGCGCAGGTGGCCACTTTCACGCTTCATCCGTTGTCCAACCTCCATGCGTTAAAGATGGGTGAGGCTGATGGGGGAACCCAAGGCTGGTGGCCCTGCCTGATCCTGGGGAAACCCTGCCAGCCTTGACCCAACTCGGGTGTCCTCAAAGTGGCAGGAGCAGCAGCTTCCAGGGTCCACAAGCCATCTAAGCTGCCCCCCTGCCAACTCAATCACCTGGTGGCCCCCCAGCTATTCTAAAGCCTGGTGTCCTTGTGCCTCTGAGCAGGGGCCAGTAGGCAGGAATGCCGGGGCTCATCCACACCACCCACAAATGCTTCCCTTTGAAATTTCCTCACCTGATCGCAGTAAATGCGGATGGAGCCCACGTTCTGAGCTCCCACGGCTGTCAAGGAAAAGAAGCCGTGTTTCCAATAGCCCGACAGGACAACCCGCTCGTTATGGCAGAAGAGTTCCTTGATCCAACGGGCTACGCCGGGGTTCACAGACATCAGGGCACCTGAGGAGAGAGCAAGTCTCTGCTGTTGCTTTGGCTTATCCAAAAGCTGGGAAGAGAAGAGAGGTTGTGGGAGGGGAGATGCCAGAAGACCATCTCGGGGGCCCTTTGAGGCACTCCAATGTTTGAAGACAATGTCCAGAAGAGAAGGATGGTCCCAGGCATTCACTGAACCTGCTGTCCTGGTGGTTAGAATGTAGGATTGCAGGCAAACTCTACCCACTATCTGGAGTTTGACCCTGACCTTCTGAGGTCGCTAAAATGAGGACCCAGATTGTTGAGGGCAAATCTGTAACCCGTACAGAGAATGCTGTAAAGCACTATGGGGTGGTAATGTTGTAAGTTTAAGTGCTAGTGAAGAGAGAGGAAGGGGGAGAGGGCTTGCCAGGGCAGACTGAGGGAGAAAAACTAGAGGTGGGGACTTGATTCGTTCCCCCAGGAAGGGAACTCCCACAAGGTTACATATAGCTCTGGACTGCTGCTGTTTGAGCTACTGTGGGGATAGCACTAGCAATAGCTTCCATCCCACTTCACAGTGCTTTCCAGCCCTCTCTATGCGGTTGACAGAGTCAGCCTCTTGCCCCCAACCATCTGGGTCCTCATTTGACCCACCACGGAAGGACGAGTCAACCTTGAGCAGGTCAAGATCGAACGCTTGGCAGCGAGATCAGTTAGCTTGCAATACTGCACTTTAGCCACTGTGCCACTACGGCTCAAGTTAGCTGAAGCGGGTGCTGTTCTCCTGGACCTCTGAGGGGGCCGGAAGTGATGGGAAAGGGCTTAAGGCCTCCCCCTCCCTTTTGGTTTCCTGACCCTACTCAGCTGCCAGAGATGGGGCTTCTCAAGACTCCACCCAGCCCCCTTTCTTGCTAGAATGCCTTCCAGCACCTCCCAGTTGTTCAAGGGAGCAAGGACTGGGCCGTGGCTGAAAGAGCCCAGCATTTGCTAAGCAAATAAAGCTCCGGCCTGAGGGCTGCGGGCCAATCTCCTTTAAGAATAGCCACCTTTGATCGGTCCCTGGGACAAAGACTTTGGATCCCAAAATGATTTCTAATTCAAGGCTTCCTCTTTGTCAGGTTTTCTTGTCTACCTGCAGAGGACTGTGGGGAGAATCACCAACTCCAGATTCTTCTGAAGTGGGGAGAAGAGCCTCTTGCAGCATGAGCTTAGGGAGTTCAAACTGCCCTCCCCCAATGGATGTTGGCATCAATCCAGCCGGGAAGAGCCTGCAATGGTTCTGGGAGACCCAGAGTGAGATGGGGCCCATCAAGTGGCTCATTTGATTTTGTCTTGTCACGGGTTGTGGTGGTTTTATTCTTTTATATTGGGTTTTTATTGTTTGTAAACTGCCCAGAATCACTGGGAGGGAGTGGGCGGCCATATAAATCTAAATAAATAAGGAAACACAGAAGCCGTTTCCAGGCCACTGTGATGAAAGGCTGCTCCTAAGCGCTCCTTGGAGAAGGACTAATGTTCCACTTGTTTCATGGGCAAATGTCAAGTGTGTGAAGAGCTGCCTCTGGCCCTCCCACCTGCGAAAGAGGCCTACCTGGGAAGTGACGCCGATGAGAGACCTTCCAGTCGGTGGGTGAGTGGAAGCAGTGGTAGTCTCCGGGGGACAGGTATATCACACAATGGAAGAGCTCGTTGCTGTCTTTTGTGACCAGCTGTTTTTGGAAGGACTCGCAACAGGAAGCTGGAAAAGAGCAGCAAAGGAAGGTTTTCTGAGAAAGAACTGTAAAGCTGCCCAGAGTTGATCCAGCAACTCAAATCCTTCACTCCTTCACCTGCTCCGGACAAAAGCTAAGGGCTGATCCTGGCATTACCTGCATGTAAAGGAGGGCCCAGCCCAGAGCGAGAAGACCAAGAGGCAACTGGATGGGGGGGGAGCATGAACGGCCATAGCTTTAACAAGGTAAGTCTAACTGTCCCTTGAGCCTTGGAGACGGGAACTAGCGTTTTCTTGTAACAATTTGGTTTTGCAAAACATCTACTGCTGCATATGGCCTTATTCAGGACACAGAGAAGCTCAGAAGCGAAGCTGGAATGCCGATCTTGAGCTTTCATTCCGGATTAAAATCCAGAAGTGAACACAAGAACAGTGGTGGTGCACCAACATGCACCTTCCCCCTGCAAATTTATATTAAATCTAGAGCCATCAGACTGAATTACAGAGCACCGCTTCCTGCTTATGTGTGAGGGGTAGGAGCTGAACAGCAATCGGGTCACCAAGCCCTGCAAACCTGGCTTCTGAAAAAACTACCCCGGAGACCACTAGAGATCTGGTCATCCTTGGCCACAGAGCAGACCGCAAGGGCAATGCAATGCCTGAATGTCTGCCCAAGACCTTCTCTCAATCCTACCTACCCCGGGGGAAAGATGGGAAGGAGTTTGCCTCCTTGGAGGACAAGCAGAGCAAGTGAGCAACAAAGAGAAGTGAAGTGAAAGCCTGGCCTCCTCCCACGGCACAGACATGGCTGCCTTCCATGGGTTGCCAGCCTTTGTCTCTTCACCCCACTGCTGCCTCTTCCGCTGAGCAAAAGGGGGGAGGTGATGCAGATGCGAAGTGTCCCTGGCGCCTTAACTCCTCCTGATGCTTCTAGCGGGTGAGTGGGGTGGCTGCCTGGCCTTGGTGCAATTCATCCTTCTAAATATGCTTCAAAGACAGGGCTGCCCTGTTCAGCCTCTGCCCCACTAGCAAACTCTGGAGAGAAGGATCCTGGAGCTCAAAGGGGAGACTTACTTGGATTATTTTGGCAGTTCTCGTGACTGGCATGGGGACCCAGGAAGGACTCGAGAGAATAAGTGATGCCTTTGACTTGTTCCACTTCACAGTTCTTCACCTGTCCAAAACTGAGGATCTTTCCATCCGAAGGACTGATCTGTAGAGAAGGAAGAGTAAAAAGAAGCTGAATGCTATTTTCTCTTCCACTTCTACTAACCAATATCAATGGCTACTCAAATTTACAGAACTTTGTTCTACTTTCATTAAATGCAATAAGAATAATATGGATGTGATTAACTTACCCAAACAAGCAGCATTAAAACAACTTTAACTGAAAAGGTTTCCTAGAGCCTCCCTATCCAAAAACGGAAAAGGAGGAAGCAGAGCAGCTGCCTTTTGACCCAGAAACTCACCACGCTGTGCCGGTCGCAGACAGGCCGTGCTTGGGGTTTCAGCTTCCGTCGGAAAAATTCACTCAGGTTCCGGTAGTGATGGAGGTCCTCCACGGCCGCCTCCTTCATGTTCACCCCAAAGGTCCAGATGTAGAGGCTGAGGACGGGCTTCCGCAGCCAGGTGGGCAGCTCCACGTTGTTCAGCCGGCCCCACGCACGGGAGAGCAGGCGGGTTGGAACTGACTTGTACAAAGAGACCTAGAGAGAGGGAGAGGCAGGGGTTCAGGTGGGCCACGGTGTGGCCACAAGGGTCGTCTGCAGTTTGAGGGAAGAAAGAGAAAAATCCCCCTGGAGATCAGAAGAAAGGACCTGCCTCCCCCCTGGGATACTGGCACTCGGAAGGCTGCTATAGACCCTCCATGGGAGTCTCTTGTATCAACACAATCTGCTTTTCCTTTAACTGGAACTCTATCCAAGTGGTCTCTGAGAATCAGGAACGACCGAAGGATGAAAGACAAAAAACCCCAAACAGAGCAGGGGAGCCACTATTGAAACCCTTCCACTTGGAGCTCTGAGGAGGGATGGCATGGGCAACTATCTCAACTGATAAGATCTGTTGCTCTGGTTAACTTTTTGAAGGACTTTTGCCTGGACTTTTGGGTGTGTGAATGCCATTAATTCACAGGAGATAAATAAAGAGGGGTTTTTCGGGAGAAGGAGTCTGTTTCTGGTTTCCGCTAAGGCTTGGGTCAGAACAACTTTATTGTTCGCTGCCAATAATACAGGAATCTTCCCCAGACTATTTAATGCCTGGGAAATACTAAATAAGGCTCAAAGGGGGGGGGGGCACAATTTGCCCTCTTGTATTTACAAAGTGAGTCCAGACTAATTCCCTGCTTGAGCTCTCCTGCAAACTGGGATGGTTGCTCTCCAATAGATTTACAACCCACAAGCCTTATGAAATTATGCTGCAAAAACTCCATAGCTTTGGGTTTGGTTTTGGTAGAAAATGAAAAGGGTTAGCAAGCCATAGTACAAATAATGAAACTTTAAAAGGAGAGACGGGAGGAAGCATCTAAAAGTGCACATTCTACCCCTATAAGGTATAGTCAAGATATAGCACCTGCCTACTGCAAGTTCACCTTGAGACCATGAACAAAAGGAAGGCCAGTCATGAAGGCCTTCGACCCCAAACATCTCAGGCTCTCGGAATAGAATAGAGCTGGAAGGGACCTTGGAGGTCTTCTAGTCTAACCCCCTGCTCAAGCAGGAGATCCTAAACCATTTCAGACAAGTGTCCATTTATGGCTTTGGTTATAAATTTCAAAGCAATTGAACAGCTTACTGTTATTTAATAATTCCCATCCTCTTCAGCAGTTACTGTCAGAAATTAATGGCAAAGATAAGCTTGAAAATTATATCTTGATATTAACGTATCATGGTTCTACTGTAGTTCTTGCTGTTGATTTTATGGCTGGACTTGAGCCAAGCTCTTTAATGTGCCTCTTCCCTTCAACTAACGGCTTAATCCATCTTCGGTTTGTCACTCCAAGAATAAAAGATCACAGGGACCGGCAGCTGGCCCAAATGATCAGTCAACCATCTTGGGTCCATAGAAAGGGATCATCAAAAGGGATGGGGCAGATGTGCCAGAATTGCAGGTTACTTCTTGTGTCTCCAAAACTGATAAAATATCTTTAAAAAGGATATCCTAACTAGTAGTGATTGCTTCTCTTAGACCGTGAAAGTAGCCTGCAGTATGTTGTCCAGGGCAAACCTGCCTGGCCAAGATTCTCATGGAAAGGCTCAACTGTATTATCTGATCTAGATGGGAGGCAACCATTTCACTATTTCCAAAGTCACTTATAAGATTCTGCAGTGTGTTATCAACACGGCTGTGCACTTCAGTGGAGCCCAGTGTCTGATGACTCATGTGAGACCACGACACCTTAAATTCTAATTAAAACCCTCCTTTATGCAGAGATCTTTGGCATTCCTTATCTTTAGAGATCATTTCGGGTCCTTACGGAAGATTGTAAAAATTGTAGCTTCTGTGCCCAGTATTAAGATTCATTAGGCTTTGAGAGAACCAATGTGGAGCTAAAATAAGAGATACTTGTTTACGACTTCCAAAGAAGCTGGAATATTTTCCCCTTACAATTACAAAGTTGGTTTGTTTACAAGTCCCTTCACTTTTGCCAATTGTTGTAAATATCCTGTTGTTCTCAACAGAAGAACCTTCTTCCCAGTAAGATTCAATGCTTCACCCTCCATGGTTTTTGAAGGGAGATCTAACATTCCTTCACCTTCATCTCTGCCCTTGTCTGGAGATGATGACAGAGTCAATTTCTCATGCACCTGTTGTAGGGTGATTCCACCCTCATTTCTACCTTTAACCATAGCAGAGCTCCAGCCAGTCTTCTACATAGCTGGCTGAGGAATTCTGGGAGTTGAAACCCACAAGTCTTAAAGTTGCCAATGCTGGAGATCCCTGCTCTGCACTGATGGCACAGCAGCCCCACCTCCTGTGTCTAAAGTCTAAAGCAGAACCTTCAAGCCCTCATTCCACACTAAGGAGAAACTGGTCATCAGTTACTGAAGATAAAGGTATTGGTGGTGCCATTAAGAAGCTTGTTGCTGGAGGCTCAATGGCATCTACAAACAGCAAATTAAGTCTTCTAAACGGGAGCCATTTTTCAATCTTCTGCTGCTGAAAAGAACAAGTAGCAGCTGTTACTGCCTGGGCTGCTAAGATCGTGAAGGCTAGCCTACATTTTCCTAACACATATATAGACGAAGTTCATGAGGCTGATTTTTTTTAAAGACAAGATAATCAGATACCATTATAATTCAGATTTTTAAAATTCATTGTTGCACGTGGACCTCTAATGGGGATTGCCTTCTCTAGGGGCAGCTCCAACATTTAAAACCCAGCTAAAACTGATTTACGCCAGTGTCTCTTTTGCCTCTTCTATGCTTTGCTCTCTGAAAAGAATTCCTTTAGAGGAGAGTCCAGATATATTATTTCAAGCAGGAATCACTTACTTCTGTTATTTTGAAGTCAGTGTCAAGTTTTTAATAATCTTGTTTACTATTCTGACCTCATGGGAATAGAGATCTGAAATCCAGACTCTTGCTATTTAGGGACCATTCGCTCTCATGATGCCAGAGGTTCCAAAATAAGCAAGTGCATCTGAAAACATTCCACTGATGCAAATGAGAGTCACATTTCTTTGTAAGATCAGCAGACTGGTGAAAAGGTGAGTAGGAGGGGCAAAACAAGTGGGTGGCTTAGTTGGCACAGATGGCTGTTGATCCTGATGATCTCATTTCGACAAAGGGGGATCCCAGTAGGGCCCTCTGGAACCTCCCAAGATCAAGGACTCCAAGGCTCAGATAATCAAGATTTAAACTGGGTTGGTTACAACCATGCTACAGGTGGGAAGGACATGTCGGATGTTTAGAGTCAGCCACAGGCAACAAAGCCACAAGCCAGGATAGGAATTGGGATCTTGTGGACTCTCAGTCCAGGATTAGATTGCACTGGACTTTGAGAGAACCAAATGCCACGGAAGCCAGAGGTACCCCAGGAAAGACCTGAGCTCAGGCAGTGGCAGGGGCTGCACCCCTTGCCAATTGTCTGTTTCATTGGAGAGCGTCTTCTTGGGCCGCATGTAATGCTTTGCTCTCTGTTTATGGAAGGGAGATACACCAACCTCTCAAGGCGAGTGTCCTTAGGTCTCTGCCAGCAGACCAAATAGCCAATGATGCCTTTACCAGGGCCTTGCCCATTGCATGCAGCCTGGAACACAGATTCAATAATCTCTATCCAATTGCCTCGAAGGCTGAATAACGACATTCTCCTCTTTCTGGTGATTCATCTCCCAATTTAACTAGAAGGTTGCCATCCTGCAGCTGCTCTTGGGATGGGATTTTCCTTCTCTCGCTCTTTAAGCCCCCTTAAGATTACTGAGCTCAGTTCAAATCCAGTTCTCAACCTAAGGACCATGGTCTCCCTTCTCCCCACCTTTACTGCGCTCCTGATTATGTGCCATGGGGAACCGAGGCTGGACACGGAGGGGCTTTCATATCCAGGGAGAGCGGCTAAAGAGCTTCCTTGGGCAGCAACTGCAAGTGGGAGAGAAGAGATGGGGGCTATCTCCTAGCCTTCCTGTCCCCACGCAGGGTGACCTACACTAGCAGGCAAGATGGGGCAAAAGAACCAAGTCCCATAGAAGGACTGGCTCTTGGCTTCGGTGGGGGAGGGGTTTGCCGGTGGGAGCTGGTCATTACAGCTCCGGAATCCTGGTTGCGTTAAACAGTCTGATCAGCAATCCATCAGCCGTCTGACAACTTGTTTACCTTTTCTTCGGGCTGAGGAGATAAGGTGAGCTAATTGTGCTGGGCAACGCGCCAACTAACTCTCTCAGATCGACTCTGGGAGGGGAGGAAGGGCACCCGGTAGCAGAATTGTCTCTGTGCCAGGAATTCCTGTTGTTTTTTAGCAGCACAAAGCAAACCACCCATCCTCAGAACAAAAATTTGATTTA